TCTGAATGATACAAAGTAAGATTAAGATGAAAGTGTAGTTGGAAGATACAATTCAGATGTTTGAACAAGGCATAAAAATACTTCACTGAAATCTCAGTAGCTCTGAAGGCTGAAGCAGGAAGATCACAAGTTCAAAGCCAGTCTCAGCAACTCAGTGGATAAGTGTCCCTGGGTTCAATCCCAGGTACCAGAAAAAAAACAACAGTTCATTGAACTTTTCCCCTCCCCATATAATAAGGCCAAGACACTGTTCTGAGAATAAATCTTATTAAGAAAACTGGCTAGTAAGACATTAATGTATCTGATAATTATACTATTTTATACTGATGTAAGATCATTGCTATGGCCACAAGACCAAATCAAGACAAAATTTCCAGTTAGAGAATAAAAACAGTTTAATTTTGTCAATTTCAAAACACTGATTTGTTTTGGCAAGGGGAATCAAGTACTTGTAAAAGAAAAGCCACACAATGATAAAGTAACAATGATAAAGTAGTACAGTAGTTTAGATAAACCTATCTTTAGTAATAAGCAAACCTTGTGTGAACATCAAGATTCCCCTTAACTTCTTTTAAACATTACTAACACGTTGCTGAAAGTGAAGTTGTACAAAGTTTATGTTTGTTTTCTCCAAAGAGATTCTCCTGAGTAACGAGTCTTCCTCATTTTTCATCCCCTGGGACTAGATTATCATGCCCAACACTGATTAAGCATTAAGCCCCAGTTAAGTATTGATTAGATTATTATCCCCTACAACTGGGGTTCTTAATTCAGAATAAGAGGGGTTTCAGCATTACCCAGAAATCATTTCAAAATTGTCTGTTTTCAGACAAAATGATTCAGTTAAGCTCAAAACTCTATGTAGCTATTTTTTAAAAACTGAGCATTCTGAAATTAAAATCCAACTGTTAAAACCCACAAGTACAACAACAACATACAGTCAGATTTGTATACACTAATAGAAGCTCTATTTTAAAACTAGTACAAAAGTCAATCTAGGATTTAAGAATTTGAACATTTAGTTTCTTCAACAGAAAGAAATCATTATAGCAAAATGCTTTTGAAAATCCTCAAGAGTTTTATCTTGGATAACAAGTTGCACCTGAACTTAGAACTGACATACAGTTTTACCCAATGCTAGCAAGAGTATTCAACTTTACATCTATGTGATTAACAAAAACTAGAATTAGTAGCAGATGAGCCACAAGAATGAAAGAGAAGGATAGTATCAGCCACCATTTTTCAAATTAAACAATGAGGTTATTATATGATCACATCACTCAGTTAAGCACCTATCCTGCATAGTAAGCCAGCTGTAAAACCACCTTAGGACCATATAAAAGAAACATTCTCAAGTGTATCCAGCTTATAGACTGGTTGAGGACAGAAAGTGTATTTTGCTCACTTTAAGATGCCTCTAACACTTAAGTGGCACGTGGAAGTTTCTAGCACTTAAAAAATTAAACTCACTCCTTTCATATATTCTTTTTTTTTTGGTTTGTTTTTGGGGGGGGGCGGGAATTTTTAAATTTTTTTTAGTTTTTGGCGGACACAACATCTTTCTTTGTATGTGGTGCTGAGGATCGAACCCGGGCCACACATATGCCAGGAGAGCGCACTACCACTTGAGCCACATCCCCAGCCCCATATATTCTTAATACACCAATCAGTTATAACTAGTTATAGTAGTGAAATCCCATTTTTTTAAATATCAAGTGGATAAGAGAAGCTTACTTCAGGTGGAAATCTGATTTGAACCTTAGTTACTAGCTGTGGGACTAGATAAGTAACTTAACCTGTCTCTGTGCCTGTTAACCTCATTCATAAAATGGAGCTAATACTCAAAGTTAGAAAAAGTTCAATATATAGTAAAGGCTTTTATCAGTAGCAGGTATTTGCAAAGTAAACCTTTTAAAATGACAAAACCCAATATATCATTCACAAGTGCAGTGGTTAAGAGAACACTAGAGAACCAAATGACCTGGGTTTTGATCCCAACTCTGCCACATATGAAATTAGGCGTTTTCCCCTCTTGGCGTCTGTGCCCCCCGTTTTCTGATTTCAAAATAGAGATACAAGTGCACTACTTCCTTATTTTAAATTGGTTAAAACAAGTTTTGTTTCAAATAGTTATAACAGTGTAAATTATGAAAACATGAGTTTTTCTTTTAGGTTTGGTTCATGTTCGATTTTGGGTAAAATTTACCAATATCCTCAAAACATGTATACTGCAGTTATTTTGTTTAATGGGAGTGGTACAATTACCTATGGCCCCAAACACCAATCATTTTGGAGTTCCCACTTTTTTGATTTTCACTGCCTAATAGACCTACTTATGACCATAATACTGGTTGGTACAGGTAAAAATTATAACAAAAGATAAAGGGTAAGATTATTTGATTGGTCTAAGAATAGCCATTCTAAAAAAAATCATACTGAAGGAAAAAAAATTGTTCTATGGCTTGATCAAACAAATTATTGAAGATTCAAAGTATTCCAATAATATATTCGTGAAGAATATAAACATACCTCAATATCTGTCTTGGGGCACTTCAGATACAAATAAATTCAAAGTAGGTGAAAGCACAACAAAAATCATACTGATACCAGTGGTTAACTTGATTCCTTAAGAGGAAGGTTAAAAGAAAAAGAAACCCCTTCAGAATTGTCCCCTCAATAAAACTTTTTGGACCTGGGAATATTTTTTAAAAGCTTCACATGTGGTATATCAAACCACAAACAAGTTAAAACTTTCTACAGGTTGGATCAACCATGTCCCAGAAACACTGGTTCTCCAATTTGGAAAGTGTTTTATGTCAAGATTCAGTCTTATATAATTCTTTATAATAGTCTGAACAAGAGATAAGCTGGTATTAATTGCTAGACTAGAAATCAGTTAAAAAACAAAACCAAACCTGTTTATGTGAATTATACACTGATATTAAAAAGCAGTAGTATTCTTTTGTAACTATTAAGAGTGACATGCCAGAGGCCTGTTCAAAGCCACACAGTAACCCATGTGTCCTCAAAAATACCTAGACACTTAAGATTTCTTTTTATTGCTGGCATCCCAGTGTCTAGAACAGTGCCTAGAAATCTATTAGGCATACAAGAATTTATGGTTAATATATAATATATAACAAGTACCCATCTAATAAAGACACATGGATAAATCTGCTCGGAGCTACAATTCTAATTGAAGCATTTCTCCTCAATGGTCACTCTCTACCATTATGTTACTGCCTCTCTAGAGTTTTTAAATCATTAAAGTAGTGTCACAGCAGCTGGGTATCACCTGTAAAAGAAAAAAAATCAATGAGACCTTCCTTCAAAGTGTTTTATTCCACACGGATAAAAATGTGAGATTATTCTCCACTGTAGTGGCCTGAACTAATTGAAGACAAAAAATTTTGATTTGTACTGAATATTATGTTCTCAAGTATGCTGTAAAATAAAACTAGGATCCTATGTGAATTTGCCCTCTGGTCACATAAAGGTTATTGTTTAAAAACAATCTTTAAAAGTTTTAAATCCTAAAAAGGTCTTCTTCCTTTCCTTTGCTATCATTTCAAAAAACACAGGTATTCTACACCAACCCATAGTGACAATACCATTTCAGCATTAGTTATCCTAAGAGTTAAGATGTCAACTTTCATCAAACAGCAGTTTTGCCAATCAAACTCCAAAGTTATATTTAGTAAATGCAAATTAAGCAGCACTGAGCCTGTTTTGGTAAAGTCAAATCCTTGCCATTCCTTCTGTAGAATTCTCTTTATAAAGTATCCTATCAAAACCAAAGTTTTATCCTAAAACCTCCCCTTGTGTCCTATCTTCTAGTAAGGCTGAATTTATTCCATGACATTTTTTTCAAGTTAGCTGTAAATACTCCACCCTCCTGATTGTGCAAGAACCAAATACAGCACACATACACAAGTTACACAAAAGGTAAACACAGTCTGAGAGTATGAATTTAAGTAAATTTCGAGAAGTGGGTCTCAGAGCAGGGTTCAATCCGATATAAAACTTAACAAAGAATATTATTTCATATTATTACGAAAGGAGATGCCGGAAAGGGCCTGAACCAGTTAAAGCAGCCGCCATCTTAAAATGCGGGACAGAAGTTAGAGCAAGAAAATGAGACTAAACCACCGGAGGTGGAGGTTCCGCTCACCCCCAGAGCTTTGAGAAATCCTTTTCTCAACTTAGATCGATAATTTACTATCAAACCACATTTCAAGCAGCGAAACAATCCTTCTTATGGCTGTTATTAAATGGGCAGAGGCAAAAAAATAGGTACACCTAGTTTCCCTTTACTGCCATCCCCCCTTCCAAGCCAAAAGAAAAAAGGAGCTTCCAGAGGCTTTTACATCAGTTCCCGGTGCCTCGGAAAATTAGCTTCGGGTGCAAGCTGCAACTACAAACATAGGAAGTGGCAACACTGTGTCAGTCCACCTCCTCCCAACCCTACTCATTCTTGTGTAACCTTCCCCGAGTCGACCAAGTTTCATTCATTTCAGCAGGCCAGAGTTCCACCCTGACCCTCAGTAAAGTTCGGGACTCACAGCTCTCTTCATTTCTTAGTTTACTACCTTTTCTTTTCCCCTCGAGAAAGCCTAGAGCCTTTATCTTAGAACTAAAAAATTTTTGAAGAACCAAGAATACGAAGCATCGTGACATCTGCTGGAACGTCTCTCCGCAATTCCAACACCTTAATCGGACTCCGAGTAGAAAATCGAAGCGCCTCAAGTCTCTTTTTCTCGCTCACAATCAGCACCGATTCCAATGAGACATAGAATAACACCTCGCTTGCCACAGTGTTCTGTTCCCCAGTCTCAAACCTCATTTCATAAAGCATATCTTCGTTTTCCACCTCCCAATGAAAGAAGTAACCCCAAGAGGTATTTTCAGAGTTATACGTCCCTTCCACCCCCACGATTTCCTCCGGGCCCAGGTCTTCCTTTCCTCCCACGACCCCATTCCTTTCAGTCCCAACATTATACCTTATTAATCCGTTTCAGCGCCATAGTCTGTGCTTTTCGTCTGGCTCCTCACTATCTCGGTGTGTGCTCAAAGGTCCGGCCAAAACTCTTGATTATCCGGGCGGCGGGGAAGGATTGTCTCTTCGTCTCACACCGGCTGTGCCAGACACAGGCGCCTTTTTGCAAAAACGGAGCAGATCAGCACTTGCACTGGCCCCGGAGAGACCCTGAAGATTCCAGGTCCCTTAAAACGGTCGCGATCCGGGGTGGGTGGGGTGGCAAAGCCACCAACAGCCTCTATGCCGTGCTTCGGACCGAAGTGGGGGCGAGGGTGACGGGAGGAACGGAGGGGTGGCTACAAGTTTAACTTCCCGGTCTCTCCAAAGGAAGAGACCCGGGTGGGAGAGGAGGAAGCGTAGGAGAAAGGGGTGGGTGCGGGGCAGGGTCCGGAGCCCAGCAGAGGAGGAGCCGGGGCCTAGTCGGCGCTATGCCGGCGTCACTAGGGCAAAGAAAGGCAAGGGGGGAGGGGGAAACAGTAGTCTCCGGACTGACGCCGGGCTTCTTTCGGTTTCGGCTCGAAGGTTTGGCCAGGGTAGAAAAGGAAATGAAGGAATAGACTTAATGTGTGTTCCTCTCCCCGAAGCTATAGCTTTTCAGTGTCGCCCCTGACGCCACCGTACACTCCGCCTTCCAGCGCGCTCTCGCGCGCGCCCGCCTAGCCACCACCACCGCCACGCGCCCGTGCTGCCCCCGAAGCTCCGGCTTAGGCGCGAGGACGCGCCCATTCCCCCTCCCCTTTAAGCAGAAGAGGCCCGGGTTTCTCCAGCCTCCCCGCCCTACCCCACCCAACCCAACAGGCTGGCCACTCAAGCCACCCAGGGCCCGTATTTCCCCTCTTACCCGGCCGGCCAGTGGGCCGGCCTCCCTTCCCTTCCCCTAGCTGTCCACACCCACGCGTACAGAGGGGCCGGGGCCTCCCTCAAGCTGCGGCCTCGGCCTCCTCCCCGCGCGGCAGCTGGTGCCTCCCCGGCCCTACGGGGCTCACGCGCACGACACAGCCACAAGATGTCCGCTCTGACGGAACTACTGCCAGCTGCCACGCTCCGCCCCTCCCCCCTCCTCCTGCCTCTTCACCGCCGCGTATCAGTCCGCCAACGCCGCCGTCGCGAGCACAGGATGAATCTAAGGGTGAAGGGGAACGGTTTACTTCCCACGTCCGGGGCGAGCGAATCTGTGCCACCCCCTTTCCTTGTCCTTTTCGGAACAGCCCCTTCTTACTAAACGGATCTGAGGTTGGACTGGGAGGGCGGGGGACGGAGGCGGGTCATGGGCTGAGGG